GGTATTAGATATAGTAAGTCGTCGAAAGATAAAATAAATAAAAAAGTAAAGTTCAAAGAAATAAAAAAAGACGAGAAGTTTCTAGAGTATAAGGATTAAAAGAAAGCTTGACTTGAAAAATAGTAGAATTAAAAACGGCTCTAAAAACCTTTCACTTTGTATTTTTAAAAAGATTTGCATCATGAAGTGTAGTGGAAATTGAGGAGTTTATATAATCACATAAACGATCTACGAATTGCGTCATGTCGCGTATTAATTTTTAAGCTTTTTTAAATGATGACATCATGATCATCAATTAATTTTTTCTGAAAACGCATATGGAAATTATACTTGAGAAATCTATAAAAGAAGAAGTAATAAAATAAATTTACTACTAAATACAAAAAAAAAATAAAAAACAATAATATACCTAGACCAGTGTGGTGTTGTTGCAAATTTTACAAATATATACTTTTTTTCGAAACTTATGCTATGCATACACAACAGTCCACAAATATCACACACATGAATTTTATAAGCATCTGCGACATCATTAAGTCGTTCCTATAATAAACATTTTTTTTTTTTTAAAAAAAAATGAAAATATCGTAAGAAGCAATAAATCTAAAAGATATTTGAAATTCATATAATACAAATACCTTCAAAAATAAGGCTGTTCCGTGAGAAATCATACAATATCGTTCCATTTCACCAAATCTTAATCCTCCTTCACGACTACGTCCCTCAACTGGTTGTCTGGTTAATATATTAACTGGACCTCTTCCGCGTGAACTATATAGATTCAACTTATATTTAGTGCAATTCTAAATTAATTAATTGTATACTATATGGAAAAGACTTACTGAATTTTATTTTGAACCATATGTTTTAACCGTTGATAATTAGTCGGTCCAATGAAAATTTGTGCGGCTAATTTACTTCCAGTATGACCATTATACATAACTTCCAATCCACGACGGTGGAATCCAAAAGAACCAAGTTTTCGCGAAATGGATTCTACGGTAAATTCCAAAAAAGCTGTAGCATCACCTTCACTACCCGAAAACACCGAAAGCTTTATGAACAAGTGTATACAATCGCAAGTCAGAATTAAGCACGTATACTGTATGGTTTTAAAACGTATATTTTTACTATACCTTTCCCATTAAACATTCAATTAAATCTCCGATTGTCAAACGGCTAGGAATAACATGTGGATTATGATAATATCTGGTGTAATACCGTCAGCAGTGAATGACATATACTCTTGACGATAATTGATTCCATTGGTTCATTTTTGACCATGACGACTTGCGAATTTATTTCCAATTTCAGGAATTTACGTATTTCTAACTCCAACTTTCATCAATTTAGCTCCGTCTTGGTTTGTGGTAACAAGTACTTGATCAACGAATCCATGTTAATTAGATCTTAATGTTGTAGAATCATCTCTATATACATGAGATTCTTTTCGTTGGCCAAGCAGTCATCTTCAGGTGAAAGTGTAGACACCTTTCCTATAAGAATATCATTTCCACGAACTCGAACCCCACAAGGTACGATCCCATAATCATCAAGTTTCTCATAATTTCCACGTTTAATCCAAGGTTCATATAAGGATTTGGCTTGATTATATCTTCCATGTTCAAAACGCCCTTTATATATATATATTTTTTTTTAAAAAAAAAAACGTTTTAAATATATTAATAAATCTTAAATTGTAATCTAACTGTACCACTTTTTTTCTTGATCAAGATAACGTCGATAAGTAAAACTTCTAAACAATCCCCTGTCAAAGCTACTTTGGTTTATAATCAAGGAATCTTCTTGATTGTACCCTCCATAACACAGAACTACGATAACATTGATCCCAGCAGGTAATTCTCTGAATTGAAGTATTCCATAACTTTTGTGGTTACAAGCTGCTTCTGAGGATAATACAACAAATTGGCCAATACATCCATTCGTAATCGAAAATTAGTCGCGTAAATTCCCATTGCCTGCTTACTCATAGCGGATTGATAGGTATTTCGAGGAGAATAATTATGAAAGATTGAATATCTTTAATAAATTTTGCAACAATCATCATTATTTTATTTTAATTTGTGTATTATCTTACTTGATTATGATCAGAAAATGGAATTAGACTGGCGGAAATACCCAAAATCATACTTGGATGAATTTCACAATGGGTCCACTTATTTGGATAAGTTGGTAAATTAATTAGACGTTCATGGACCGATCGTCTTTTCCTTCTTGGTCTTAAACCTTCAAGTTTACGTAAATTATACAATCTCGACTCATATATTCATCCGGAGAGATACATATCATGGTAGACTCTTCCTCTTCAGCATCAATATGTTAGATGTAACGCTCTAATACTAATGCCTCCAATAAACTTTGTTCTTCCTCCTGTGCTATCTCCTATTTGATTAATTAATAACGATAAAATATAAAGAGTGAATTTAAAATAATAGGTATGTATTTATGTATATATGTAACTATTTTACTTACCAGCTTTAATTTTGATAAAGTATCTGAAGTCAAAATTAAATGCCGATCTTCGACGACAAATAATGGTCTACACATTCTTCCCGAATCACTGTAGAATCTTACTTAATTCACAAGTATATCATTAACAATGCCAATATCGGCCAGAAGAGAATTTCCCTTAATCTCCCAAATAGATTTTATTAAATCCAAAGGTCTATCGGTAATACAAGTCAAAGTTCCATTGACAAAAACTTTTATGGATTTAACAATGTTATCAAACGGAGTTTCATTAATGTTTTGCCAGATACCGGTTTTTAAAATATCAGATGGAATAGACACTGAGACGTATGACATTAGCGCTAGATTTTTCATTAGACCGCAGTCTTGTCCCTCAGGAGTTTCAGCAGGGCATATGTAACCCCAATGTGTATTATGAAGTTGACGCGGTTTCGTAAACTTACCTTCGCGTCAGATTGGAGCATCACATCCTCGAAGATGTGATATAGTTGACATGTAAGTAAATCTGTTTAGGACTTGTGAAACACCAGACATGGACTATTGAAGAGTAAAGGGATTAATAATAATACGATAATGAATTTGCCTGCATTGCCCTTTTGGCATCTCCCCAATTACTGGTACCAATTGAGTATCTAAATCCATCGGTAATTGTATGTGGTCTTAACGCTAAAGGTAATTTGAATTCGCATCGAAATAACAAACTTGTGAAAGCATATAATTAAATTTTAAAAAACTTGTAAAAAAAAAAAAAATCTTTTTATTTACCTTCCTAACACTGTTTTCTATAAAGTGCGAAATAATGAAATCATTAGAGGACCAGCCATATCAAGGCATTTTTTTCAAAATGATTTCGATCATCAAGTTCTCGACGGTCAAGAGTAGAGAGTAAAAGTCTATACGCCAAATATCCCAAAAAAATACCCTTTAATTAAATTGAAGCCTTTCCTACTCCAACTCGAGGCAGAAATTCGTTATATATAATGTTTTTCGCATACCTTCGGTATGCGTCATATAATTTTTATATCATCATATTATGATTTTAACAAATTTGCAATAAAATTAATAATTTAAACAAAACGTACGCGATCCGTTTCTCCCGAACCGCGTTAGATGTATTTCCTTTGCGCGCAATAAAATCTAGAGCGATCTTTTTTTTAAAAAAAATAAATCAATATTTAGAAAATTAATGAAATAAATGTTTGTTGGATTTTTTTATGAGAATTGAAAATAAAACAAGTACAGTACATTTTGCGACCGAATTGCACGTTTTTAGTCAATGCAATATAGTACAATTTTGAGTATTTCAGGGTCGTGAGGATCAAGATAAAATACAATCGATGAAGTTCTCATCGTTGAGGCAAGAAATAAAACTCTAATTGGAATATCCTTTTTATAAAAGGCAAAGCGACGTGTATGGATGATTCAGCTTTCTAATAATTAATTAAAAGGTTGAGTAAATAATAATACTATTTTACAATGATACAGAGTTAATAAATTATTGATCATTAAATTTTATAAGAACTTACGTCTTCGGCAAAAGTTTTCGTAACCAATTTCAAGTTTACAATTCTTACTTTGACATGTGTTCGGTAGAACTACGAAATTCCGCGCTATACAAGGTAGTCGACGGCGAAGCATATTTAAAGATATAGACGTTGTTGTAGGCTAAGCTATTAGAACTTTTTCGGAACCGTTTATGATAAAGTAACCACCCTAAAATGAAGTAAAATTAGCATGTGGGATATTATATGTTAAAAGAAGGTTAGATTCATTATACCTGATCATATGGACATTCATGATGTTCTTTCAGTTCCTCAAAAGTCAAATCAGCTAAAGAGCAAAATTTAGAATGTACCATAACAGGAATCTATTTTTTAAGAAATGAGAATAATTTCAAACTTACTAGAAAAGTGAGGGATTTGGGTTTTGCCACGCAACTTTAGTTGGAACATATTTTTTTTTAAAAGAATATCATTTTTGAATGATTCGTCTTCCATACTTTTTGCTAAACGAAATGAAAAAGAAAAAAATATACCAATGAGAATAAGAATGTAAATTGTATTGTGACGCGATAAATAAATCACGTGGACTTTGATTTATCAACTACAGAACTAAAAATATCTTCAAATCACATGATTGATCCGCAAGCACGTGATTTAGAATCCCATAATCCGACAAAATTCTCATTTTTCTATAAATTTACATTCATTTGCGATAGTTGATCAGCATATTTATTTGATGCGTTTTTTTATCGTTCTTTTATGCACATTCATTGTTGAATGATACAGTTGACAATCTTCTCTCCATATCTAAGACGCTGACGGGGTCCCCACACATACATATATTATATATTATTACTTAACGGCCTCTCTGACACAGATTTGGTTTGAAAGGTTTGATGTTTTAACTGCAAATACCTTGGAGGGATTGTAGGGTGAACACAGGCAACTATTCAACATTGAAACCACACACGAAGGCCGATTTTAAAAATACACGCTAGATTTATGTAAATGGGAAAGTGGTTTGGGAAAAAAATAAAATATATTTGTCGAAAAATTATTATCGAATCTATTATATAAATAAATCATTTGTTAAATAATAAAATTTTCAGTTTAAATATAATAAAATTCTATTTTTTTCTATTTTTTTATTTCAAGTATTTAAGTTTTTAAACATATTTTACTATAAAATTTAAATTTATCTACTAATACAGATGAAGTCGTTGCTTTTAGTAATCAAAAGCTTTATTTGTAATTTTACGATTTGTATTAATAAGCATGTAAATTTCTTTTTTATTTAAAGTTGAAAATTATATAAATGTAATTTACAAATAATTGAAAACATTCGTTTACAAGAAGAGATAAAGCTAATTTGAAGAACAACTACTTTCCATAATATTATTAAAAAATTGCCCGCAAATAACGACGGTAGTTCAAATTATAAATGTCATTATTAAATATATTTTTTAAACTTACCTGATATTTTTTATGCTGATGCATTGATTGGTGAATTTTGCAAATATCCAATACAATATTACAATAAGTTGTTACACCACGATAAATCTCGACAGTACATTTGCCCAGAGTTATGCACGTGCATGTGATAAATTGCAATAAAGTAAGTAGTAAATCACATTACATATCACCAAAATATTTTCTTAACAAAAGTAAAAAAAAAAATGGAATCGTAAAAATTCTATATTTCTCGTTCCGTAAAAACTTTTAATCGTTAAAAAATTAAGAGATTTCGAAAATAATGTTGAGCATTACAGTTTATTTATTATAATACGAAGGAGAAGCTATTTCTCTAAACGCTTATTTTGATGGAGGGACTACCTCAAGGTTATCGAAGTGATGTTTCTAGTGTTTTCCGGGATCATGCTTTATTATTACTTAAAGTCCCAAGCAACAAATGGACAGATCAAAATATTTTCGAGAAATGGAACGGTAATGACGTCTTTTCTGATAATAAAAAAGGACAATGTGTATTAATTTACGCTATTTTTTTGATCAATCCGAGTACAAATAATCAATATGCTTCAAATTAAGGTGTCTTGGTTTTTTTTTGAATGTATGTTTTTCCAAACTCAGAAACTCAACCTTTACCGCAACAAATTATTAGTGCATTTAAATGTAACGAATTCGAAAGTTTGTTTTAGAGCTGGTCAAAAAGTATTAATGATCAAATTCCGATTTGTAAGTTTTTTTTTTTTCACCTTAATTGTAACCATTTTTCATTAATTTTAACATAAAGATTACTTATTTTTCTTGTAAGAATTATTCAACCATTTTGACGCAGCAGCCGTCAATAATAAACATTCAAGTGAGGTGATCTCTCGGGATGGAATTGTGAGAGATAGAGAGCTATGATAATTTTCAATTTCAATCCGATATACTTTTATAGTTTTATGAAAGGTTTTGTTCGACCTCAAGATTTATTAACAGCAAATGCATAGTTCTGATTAGGCAAATATAGACAAGGCTAACAATGAGAAATCGATATATAGTGCTATAAGTTCAATCAGTCTCAAGCTTTTCGAAATATATTTGTAAACTTGTCTCCAGGAAAATGCTGCTGAAAATAAAGTAGAATTTATAGCACAAATTGCAATGTAGAACTCGATTTAATGGTGGATATGAGACCCTTAGAAATAATAGATCTATCCCTTGATCACTTCTCAATAATTCCTCAAGAACGACTAGATAAAGTTGCATATATTTTTTCCAACATTCCATGTGATTCTGAGGATTTGTTATCGAATTTATTCGTATTTTAAAGGATGAGTCGGACAAATAATAATAATTTTATTCAATAGCAATCTCTCTAGGTGAATAATGATTGGGAAATTGATAAGAGAATTATCTAATTCATTCATAACCATAAAGTGCTAGCTTACGTGATGTCAAGAGAGCCATAACATTGATGATGTATGCACGAGATGTAACAAAAAGATTATGTAATTTTTAAACCGCAAGAAAGAAACCTGTTAATCGAGTTTTAAATCATACTTTTAGAAATTTATCATCCGTTTCATATCGTATATTACATTTAATTCCCTTCAACAAATGATCAAACGGCCATAGATGCTGAAATTATAGTATGACACATATTCAAAATGATTAGGAAAGTCTCAAGAATATTCTTTGTTCGGATGAGGTATACATATTATTTTTTTACGTTTTTATTTTAATAAGATTAACAAATCTAACCAGACTTTGGCGGTAATTCATTCATTATGTTCTTTAATGACAGAACAACTTCCATTACCGAAACAAGCAAATAACAACAATTGATGAAAGTAAGAAATTTAACGGAAACGTAACTAATTTGCGCATGAAATTACAATTGCCGGAGGCTAACATAATATTATTGTGATTGAGGAAGATAAGAACCAGAATTTGGCAATGTATAAGCAATATCGAATTGAAAATGTTCCTAGGTTATGGAGTACATGACTTTCATGTTTTGGAAGAAAAAACAAATTACTATCCATTCCTTTCATTAAACGAAAGAAATCATTTCCGAGTATTTAAAATATTTCAACGAAAAGAAATTCACAGTCTCACTATCTTACAATGTTTTGATCAAAAATTACTACGTTATTAGCCCATTTAATCCCCTTTCCTGTAACGCACTACAATGCCAATATGGATTCGTTAATACAATATATCGATCTAGCAATATTTAAGTTTAAATTTAACATAGCTAAATATCTGTATTACATACCTTTTTTTCATTGTGATCAAGGATTATTAAAGTGTCTGTCTTTTTCAGTAATCCTCAGTACTACTTGCACTTCCGTGAAAAATGATATCAATATTTTTGCTTCTTGGCTAATACACTGTCAGGTGATAACGATGATGGTAAAACTATGATTGCGTCCATAAGATCTGAACGTCATCCTATGAAAAGCAAATTCTGGTGAGAATTATTTCGTGGTAAGAATAATAAGCTTAAATGATGGATACAGGAATCTTCCAATATTATTCAAATCCCATTGTTTTAGTACGAGCACCTGGCGACGCCCATCCGTTTAAATTTGTTATCCACTATACTTACCTTTTTTATTTTTTAGAAGATTCATAGCAATACAACGAATTGTAAAAAGCATGATGGGCTTTCTTTTTCTCAACATTAGCATAATTTTTTAACAGATTCAAACTTGGAACAAATTTTTCGAACTCTTACCAGGTGACCGGACGTTGCCCAATTTCAAATAATCTTCCAAGTAAAACCATTGCTGGATTATTAATGCGATGGTACCTGTAGCAAGCTTTGGAGGAGAATAAACGGCATAGATAAATTGCATGTTTCATATTAATTATTGAGACAAAATTTGATCATTTTCTCAGGGAAGAATTTGAAGTATTTAAATTTACAGCGTCGTTCAAAAACTTTTGAAAATTTAAATTTTGACCATTTTTATAGTGAATGGACCAAATTCTAATGTATGATGTCTTTCCCACACGTGATCTACCGATAAGTATTGTATTACAGTTAGATACAATAATTTACCAACTAATTAGAACGCTTCGGACGCTCCATGAATTGTTCTGCTTTTCATGCAACTCGTTTCAACATTATTCTTCATGTCTTTAATTAACGGATGAAGAACATAACACAAAAAATTTACGAGGCGCTTATGGTGAAATAGTTCTATGTCCGCAGCAGGAATAAAATAGGTTGGATCAGATTTTGTCTTAATAATATATTCGAGAACTAACTAATTATGGAACATCCATTATGTAATAAAAATTTAGAAAATTGATAAAAGTTTGTTGGAAATGAAGTTAAAATGGGAAGTTTCAAACATCTAATGTAAGAAATAATACAAATCTTTTAAATAATCTTGCATATCTATTAATGCTTTCTCTATTATTGAAGAAGAACAATGAATAAGTTAATAATAATGACAATAGAATTATAAGAATGAGAAGTGAAAGGAAAGTATTAAAAAAAGAAAGAAAGAAAGGTATAAGGTAAGGTAAGAACGGGTGTAGAAAAGTTTGAGAATTAAATCATTGCATCACTTAATTCTAGCCAGAATTATGAATTTAACCTAATTTAATTTTAATTTAGCTGAAAATAAAGCTCATTATTTCTATAATTGTACATAAAAATATTATAAAAATTTAATTTAAAAAATAATATCAAATATTCAATTAAATGTAAATAAATTTAAAATTAATGTTTAAATTAATAAATTATAGAGAATTATTATTTTTAATTTAAAAATAATATTATAAATATATGATTATAAAATTATAAATTTAATTTTTAAAAATATGCATTTTAAACAAATAAATAAATAATATTAATAATAAAAGTTAAAATTCTTTATAACTGATTTAAATTTTAGTATGATTATAAAAAAGTTATATAATGTGATTATAGAAAAGGATTTTAATAAGTTTATAATTAACTTTAGCCTAATAAATATGCTAATAAAAAGGAGTAATTATATAAGAAGTCGATTGTAAAAAGGATAATAAATAACATTTTTAGTATAAAAAATTTCTAAGTTATCAGACTATTTAGTGATAAATTCTAATTTAATTTATATATAAATCTAATATATTAAAATTTAACATATTATATTTTATATAATTTTATTAATTTAATTTTTTTTAAAAAGATTTTGTTTAAGTATTTATATATTTTATTAACTTTTATAATAAGTTTATATATTTTATATAATTTCTATATTAAAATATTTTTAAAAATTTAAATAAATAATAGATAATTTAAATAATACACTTAATATTATAAAATAAAACTTATAAGTATTTAAATTGTTTAAATAGTAAATTTAGCAAACCTTATTAAAAAATATGCAAAATACAGTAAAAGGTATATTATATTAAAACTTATAAAAATAATGAATTATATCAAAATCTTAGTAAAAATTAATAAAACTTAAGGTTTAGATATTTTACTTTATTTAAATGAATTTAGATAAACAACTTTACCTATTAATAAATAACAATAGATTTTATATCTTAAAATCTAAGTTACCAAATTATATAATAAAAATGAAACCAGTATATATAAAACAATATATAGTCAATCCTCTCTAAATGCATCCTCTCTAAATACACATACTATATATTTTCTCTCTAAATGCATACTCTTGTTCAGCCCTAAGCATATAGAATTCATATAGAAATTTTCTTTTTAAATGCACACCCTCTTTAAATGTACATTTTTTAAAATTTTCATTATGGTCTTAAGGGGATGCATTTAGAGAGGGTTGACTGTAATAGTTTATTTATATAAATTATATACTTGAAAGTAGAAATTTGCTTTAGTGAAATCTGTTCATTTCATCATCTGATCTGATCAAAAAATGGATCATTCAGATTATGAATGAATAGATTGCAAATAATTCAGATAGATCTATCAGATAATATTAGATTGATTAAATATTATACAAATGATCAGATAGATCAGATAATCAGTTATTTTATGACTTAGATTTTAACTTAAGTTATAAAAATAAGTTAGAAAGAGTAGTTTTTGTTATTCTTTATTATTAAGAATATCATTAATATTTCTTTTACTTCTTTTTTTTAGAAAATGCCTTCCTGAATCTAAATTTTAGCTTAGATTATAAAGGTAAATTAATGTAAGATTATATTTTTTTTTTTAACTTTAGAATATTATTAATATTTCTTTTACTTTTTTTTTTAGGAAATGCTATTTAAACCTAATTTCAGCTTAGGTTATGAAGGTAAATTAGATATAAGTTTTTTTTGTTTTTCTTTGATTTTAAAATATTATTAACATTTCTTTTACTTCTTTTCTTTAAAGAATGCCTTTTAGACTTAAATTTTAATTTATACTATAAAAATAAGTTAGTATAAAGGATCATTTTTATTTTTTCTTTGTCTTTAAAATGTTATTAATATTTCTTTTGTTTCTTTTCTTTAGACAATATCTTCTTGAATCTGAATTTTAGCTTTAATTATAAAAGTAAGTTAGTATGAATAATTGTCTTTGTTTTTTTTGACTTTAAATGTCATTAATATTTTTTTTTCCTTTTTTTCTTTAGATAATGCTACTTGAATCTGAATTTTAACTTAAGTTATGAAAATAAGTTAGATATAGGTTTTTTTTTAATTTTAAAATACCATTAATATTCCTTTACTTCTTTTCTTTAGAGAATATCTTCTAAACTTAGATTTCAGTTTAAACTATAAAGATAAATTAGTATAAAAGATTATTTTTATTTTTTCTTTAACTTTAAAATACTATTAACATTCCTTTGCTTCTTTTCTTTAAGAAACACCTTCCTAGACCTGAATTTCAACTGTACTATAAAAGTAAATTAATATAAAAAATTGTTTTTATTTTTTTTTTGAACATTAACATTTCTTTTACTTCTTTTCTTTAGGAGAATGTCTATCTGAACCTGTATTTTATTTATAATAATTATACAAATGATTAATTTTATTATATAAATAATTATCCATAAATACTTTTAACTTTAATTGCATTTCTTTTTAAAATATTATACGTCAAAAAAGTTCTAAATTCATTCTAAATCTTTTTGCTGAAAGTAAATTTTCTGCATAAAAAAATAATCTTTCTAATAGTTTTGATGTTACAGAAATAGCTAGCAAGAATTAGATATTTATTTTTATTATTTTAACTACTAATTAGATGAATATTAATTAAAAGAAATTTTATTTTCTTTTAAATATTCTTTAACTTTATTAGATGCTCTTAATTGATTTTGTTTAAATATTAAAAAAAGCCTAGATTAATAAATTGGATTTAAGATTATTAATAATTCAAATAAAGTTATAGATGAGGATTAAGATTCATTAGGAGTTGATAAATAATTTTTCTTATATTCTTCATATTTTTTACATAAATTTTCTTCTTTTATTTTATTATTCATAAACTTGATTCTGAAATCAAAAATTATGATATTAAGTAATCTTTAGATAAAACTTTCCAATAAAAACATATAATATTATAAAGATCTTTTCTTATTTTATCTAAAAAATCTTTAGTTTCTAATAGTTTATTCAAATTAAATTTGTTTTTTTTTTGTTTGATTATTATTATTTCAATAATATCATTTTTTAATATTTTTATTTCTTCTATTATAATAAATACATCAATAGCATTTTTAATTTTTTGATATATTTCTGGTATATTAAAAGCTATTATAGATGATATAAGTGATATAGATAAGGTTACTAGATAAAACTTACAGGTTTTGCAAATTGTTTAAATAGAAAAGGTAAAATTTAGCATAATTATATTAAAACCTTATTAAAAAATCTGCAAAATTCTGAAAAAGAAAAATTATATTAAAGTTTATAAAAATGCAAAATTATATCAAAATCTTAGTAAAAATTTAGTAAAACTATAGTTTAAATATTTTGCTAAATCTAAAATGAGTTTAGACAAGCAACCTTAAATATAAATAATGTAGATAATATTGATAATAAAGGTGATATAGATGATATAAGAGATATAAATATAAATAAACTAAGTGAATTAGATAATGGTAAAAATAACAAATGTTTAATTTGTTTAATTATTAGATTTATAATAATATTTGTAATATATTTTTCTCTACTAAGATAACTAATTACTTCTTTAAATAGACTAAGTATTATAACTAATTCTTGTAAAGTTTCCATTTATCAGAACTTAATATGATTTGTTTAAGTTACTTTTCATTTTTTTTATATTAGTATTTTTATTATTTAATAATTCTATAATTAGCATTTAATTATAACCTTTAATCTAATTAACCTATTCTAAGTATAATAACTTGAATTCTATCTAGTAAAAAATATGCAATCTGCATTCTAAATATTTTGAAAATTATTATATAAATATAATAAACATAAATTATAAATTAAAATTTTTATCAAATTAACTTTATTTGTGATTTTTTTTGAATTTTTTCTAATATTTGATTTTGTTTATCTTAAAAAAAATCATTCAGTTTTTTTGCTTTTAAAATTAATAGTTTAACCTTTCTTACTCTTAACTATAATGTATATATAATACATTGATATTATGTAAAGTTAATCTTATTGCATTATAAAGATTGACAAATAATTAATATTATTAATATTCTTAACATTTTTAACTTATTCAATATTTTTATTTTATTTATTTTTATATTATATATTATTATTATTATTAATTTTATTATTTTTATTATAGTTAAACTATATTTTATATCTTGTATTTATTTAAATGTTATTAATTAATTTAACATTAGATAATAGTTTTCTTATAATTGTATTTTTGTATAAATAGGATAGAAAATTGTTCTATAAA